AGCAGATAAGCCCATTAAAGACCCTAGGAAGTCCTGCCTTTAAGAAACCATTTTCACTTTGTGTAATCTCATGTTTCCCAATCTGAACGTGGCCACTGAACACCTTTCTATAGCTACCATTGAGATGCCTGTCTCCCTAGCCTGTGTGCTCTTTAATGCTCATCGGCAAATGAGGGGGCCCTATGCAGGCCCACTCTGGAAGTGCAGGCTGAAACAGTCTCCTTGTTGGTCATACTGCTGAGGGGACAAGAGGCAAAGGCAGTGCCCCACGGGCCACCACCACCACACACACACACACACACCCGTCAAGGCCTGGCCCTTGGGGCTCCCTGACACCCTGTCCTCCCAGCCCCATGGCCTGTTCCTGTTGCCTTCCCTGACAGGACTCCTGCCTCAACACTTACCATGTCTCCCAAAGAGTCTCTAGTGGGAAGGTCCTTCTAAATGAAATGAAGCCATATTGCCTGCCATGTCTACCTGAGGTGCTGGAATCACACCTCAGGCACAGTCTTATAGTGGCCATTGAAAGGGGTCCAGGTTGGTGTGGAGAACACATAGGACTGGGAGGCAGGAGTCTAGGCACTGGGTCACTGGCTTGCTGTGTGACTTCCCTTGCCGTGTGAGCAAGGTGCTTCCCTTTCTGGCCTTTAGATTCCCTGTTTGACAAGGCGAGAGGGATCCAGTGAGCTGTAAATCCCCTCTGAGGAGTCCGTGGGCAAAAGGTTCCAGCCTGTCGGCTTTGGAGTGTGACCCAGCGTGTTCCAGGGACACATGCTACTAGCCCACCTTGCCAGTGCTGCTTGAGCAGCCCTGGGCCAGGCGTGGCCCTGTCCTCACCGCTCACAGGCTCATGGGGACTTACGAGCCAGGAGCTCAGTGTGGCACCCCGAGAGCTGGGACATGGGGTACCACAGGAGCCCTGCATCTGTCTGAGAGACTGGGGTGGAGTTTAATCAGACCAGGGGACCCCTGGCCTCTGATACCTGGAGGAGTCATTCCCCAAACACTGTGTGGGTGCAGAGGTCAGGACAACTGCGCAGGAGTCCCAGAGCCTCTGAAGTTCTCAGGAGCTGAGATGGGGTGCACTGGGGAGATGTGGCCCCTGGCTCTTGAAGGGTGGCCCCCACCGTCACGCCAAGAGCAGTGGGACCTCCCAGACTTCAAAGCCATACTTCCATTTCTATTCATTTGGTCAGAGGCAGCAGTTAATTTTGGGTTTTAGCAACCACAGCACACTGTGCTCATGTGTTCATGGCGGCCATGAGAAACAGGCTGCTGCTTGCCTGGGGAGCCCACCCCTGCCTGGTCTCTTGACACGCCCTTCCCCCAGTCTCTTCAGGCCTCTTGAGGAGGACACAGTCCCAGCAAGGCAGCTAAGAGGAGCAGCCCTAGGCTGAGCACCATGCTAGACTTGATCCTGCAGCCGCCTCTTACCTGCCCTGTGAAAATGGGAAGTGAGGCTAAGGGCAGGCACATTAGGAGTGGAGTCTGGACCAGAAGTCACGAGAAGAGGTGTCTGCCATGACGGCACATTGCCCCCCACCTCTGACCCGCCCTCCCAACCTTCTGTCTGGGCGTGGGGTTATGGGTACATGTTCTATGGGTACAGGACTATCAGGATTATGATGGAGTCCTTGGGCCTCAGCCCCACCCCAGGGTTTCCTGAAAAGTCCTTTTGGTTTGGGGAGGGGGGAAGGAGGTCTTCAGAGCCCCAGAAATCACACCATGCACCCAGCTGCCTGGGCCGGAAGCCTCCACTTGGAGGGCAGCAGCGTGCGATAAGGCCACAAACAAGCAATTTGTCAAAGTGTCTAAAATGGATGTTTTTGCTCCTGCGACTCCACGGTTGACCCCTGCTACCACCACCTCCCTGCCCACATCCTGTTCAAGCTTCACCAGCACATGTTACCCAGACTGCCACAGGCTTTTGCAGAGGATCTGTAGAGGCTGCTGGGCCCCTGTGGCAGCCCCAGGGGTTAAGGCGGAGGCCAGGGCTCCCCAGAGAGAGCAAATGGAGCTTCAGAGCCTATCCAATCTGCTTTCTTTTTTGTTTTTTTTTGAGACAGAGTCTCACTTTGTTGCCCAGGCTAGAGTGCTGTGGTGTCAGCCTAGCTCACAGCAACCTCAAACTCTGGGCTCAAGCGATCCTTCTGCCTCAGCCTCCCAAGTAGCTGGTGCTACAGGCATGCACCACCATGCCCGGCTAATTTTTTGTATATATATATTTTTAGTTGGTCAATTAATTTCTATTTTTAGCGGAGATGGGGTCTCACTCTTGCTCAGGCTGGTTTTGAACTCCTGATCCCGAGCGATCCTCCCACCTCAGCCTCCCAGAGTGCTAGGATTACAGGCGTGAGCTACCACACCTGGCCCGATCTGCTTTCTGACTTGGCCTCTACCACTTACCCAGCTGGGGACCTTGGGCCAGCAGCCCCTGCTGCTCATCTGTAAGATGGGGGCAGTGATACTAACCTCACTGGAGGAAGTGCTAAAGCACATGATAAGTCCCATGTCCCAAGGTTGCTAGACATATTCAGGGGGTAATTGAGGCAGGAATGGAGATAAACGGTCTTTCCATTCCTGACTTTTGGTAGACTGGATGATAATAACTAGAGACAGTGCCAGGCAATTTTCTAAGCATTTTACATATAGTAATTCATTTAATCCTAACAACCTATGAGGTAGGTACTATTCTTTCCATTTTACTGATAACAGTGAGGTTCAGAGAGATAAACTATCCCACCCAAGGTCACCCAGCCAGTAAGAGCCTGAGCCCAGCCAGTTGGCTCCATCCACACCCTTAAGCTCTGTTTCTGCTGTTTTTTGGGTTGTAGCTGAGTGCCCACTGATGTGATGTCTTCACTTGCCTTTCACATCAGCTGTGGTTATTGAACCCTGGGACTGGCACACTTCCGGGCCTCGGGATCCTGCAGGTGTCAGATGGACCCAGCCTGGTGGAGAACCACCCAAGTCAACAGGCCTCCTGACTGGGGAAGGGTCCCAAGAGGGGTTGACTGGCAACCTCTAATGACCCCCTTTTGTGTCCGCAGTTCAAAAAAAGCCATGATGCCAACATTCACTGATTGAAACTTCTGAGTCCATAAGTCTCTGATTGCAACATCCTGCAAAAGAATAGCCTATGACACAACCTTTGGAGCTCTCAACCTTCTATGAGTCAACATCCAAGTGTGACAAGGGAGGGCCCTAAAATATGCCTATTGCTCAGCCAAGAGGCACAGTGGTCCCACCTGGATCAGATCTCTAGGTCTGGCTGGAGGGGAGCCTGGGGCTTAGGGTGGGGAGCTCATACGGCTTCAGTTGTTTCCACTGTAGCTGCTGCCATAGGCCACATGAACTGACCCCTCACCAGGTCAGAGCTCAGGCCTGGGCAAACCTAGGATGGACAGAAATACAAGCCAGAGATACATACCCCTCAGGGACCTTCAGAGCAGCTGGGGAACTGGACAAGCCCAGGCCCAGTGAGCTCCAGGCTAAAGACTGAGCTAAAATAGAGCAGGGGCACCACCCCAAGAGGCCAGAAAGGTGGCACCTGGGGTTCCCTTGCCATGCCACCCCCCAATCACTGGCCAGCAGCCTTCTTGTTAGGAAAGGGGGTTGGGGGGTGGACCTTGCTTAGCATCTCCTCATCCTGGCCTGAGCCTTTGATCCTGGAGCTGCCCAACGTCCACCCAGGATTCCATGCTCAGGTGGGCTCCCAGCTGGGAGCCTCTGGCTCTAGCAGCAGCGGCCAGTGGGGTCCCTTCTCAGCAGCTCCCATCCTCAATGGAGCCTGCCAGACTCTCCCTGTAGAAAATAGGGGGTAGCCACTGTCCAGAGAGAGTGCCTGCTATGTGCCAGGCCCTGTGCTAGGCACTGGGAATATGGAGATGTCTGGGGCCAAGGTCCTGCCTTTGAGAAGTACCTTGTCTGTCCACCCCCACATAGTAGGTGCTCAAGTAGTCACTGAACTGAAAGGGACAAAGCAAAGTGCAGTAGGTTTGGACTCAGCTGCACACCCTCCCCTCCCCAACCTGAGCTCCTGGTGCCTGAGGTGCTCAAGCGTAGGGTAAGGAGAGTCTACTGTTTCCAGAGGCACCCACATCTTGTATGGACTAGCAGTTATGAGCACCTACTATATGCCCAACTCTGTTTTGAGTGGAGGGCCAGAGAGATAACTCCTACTGAGTTTTGGGGGGCAAAGCAGCACCCATATCATTGCCTTACGAGAAGGAATGGCAGGGACCAACACCATTTGCCAGGAGCAGTGAGAGAAGGGCATTGCAGATGAGGAAACTGCCCACGCTGAGTTGGGGGGATGTGGAGAACAGAGGGTCAGGGAACTGCTGGGGGAGGGTGGTTCCTGGTGGCTGGAGGGTCACACGCAACCCCCTTAAAGGGAACAGGGGCTCAGAGGCTGGAGGCGCAGGCAGGGGTCTCTTGCCCACTGCAGGGTGGGCAGGCCCAGCACAGCTGGCCCACCAGGCCACTAGAGACAGTCCTGAGTTCCAGGGACTTGCCCAAGGGTACACAGCAGCCAGTGGCCTCAGGAAGCCAAAGCTCCCCCCCAGTCATCCAGCAGGGGTGGCCTTTAGCTCTGGACGGCCAGAGGTCCCCTGGGGAAGGGAGTCCAGGGCAGTAACCCTCTGCAGGCCCAGATGGGCCTTGCCTTGGCCTATCCCTCCTAAGCGGGGAACCCTCTTTCCCCTTTAAGAGGGGCGTGGAGGTTATTTACACCCAGAGCCTGCAGGCGGGCGGGTGTGGCAGGAGCAGGCTTACCTGTTTCCCGCCACCGGGCTGGGCGGGAGGAGGAGCCGGCACTCAACCTGTGGACCGCCGCGGCCGCCAGACGAGCACTCGCGGGGGCCGGGCCGGGGGTCGGCGGGGGGCCCGGAAGCCGGGGGGAAAGCAAGGAAACCAACTTGGAGAGAGGAGTGACCTGGGGGCCGGGGGCGGAGTCGCGGGCGGGGGCGGGGAGAGCCGGCCGCCAGCCAGGGCCGAGAGCCGCGAGCGCGGCGGCCCAGGAAGCGAGCGCGCCGCCCACCCATCCGGGGCGAGAGCGCGCTGCGGGACAGGCAGGCCGGGCCGGGGGCTGCCCAGGCCTTCACCCCCGTGACCCCGAGCCCCTGCCGCCCTCAAGATGATGAAGAGGCAGCTGCATCGCATGCGGCAGCTGGCCCAGACGGGCAGCTTGGGACGGTGAGTGTCACCCGCTTCCAGTCCCCACTCTTACCCCCGCAGGACCCGAGGGGGAGTAGAAGGGTGCGGGGAGACCGGGTGGGGGCGCCTGGGGGCAGCCGGGCAGCCGCCCTCGGACCGACCAGAACCCTGCCCTCTCTTGCTCCCCTCTGAACGCCCCCCGCGTCTCCCAGGCAGAGCAGGAGCAGACGTTGGTCTTTGGGGGAAAGGGCACCCACCACAACTGGATGGGGGGGCTGCGGGGGGATGCCCTCTCACCAAGGACACTGCGACTTCGCAGCCCCCAGGAGCTTCTGAGTGGACGGTCCTGTCTGGCCTCACTTGTTCCCTCTGGACATTGGGGCTGTTAACCACTTCTGATTGCTGGGTCGGGGAGGGAAAGGGTCGAGTAGGGCCCCAGACCTTGGAGGAGGGGAGGAGACGGGGTCCTGACCTGGAGGGAGGAGGGGCCTGCCCCTGCCCTGCGGCGTCCCTACCCCTCCCCCAGCCCAGAGGCCTCCTGCTTCTCTGTCTTGCTTCTGCTTTTCCCAGACTCAGGTGGAAACGTCCCCAGGTCTCCTTGTTCCCACTCCCCGCCCCTGAGCTGGGGGATCAAGGCCGGAAGTTTGGGGAGCCTCTGAGGGCCTGTCTTCTCTGCTCCTCTTCCCCCAGCCTTGGGAGTTCCCCATTCTCTGAGCCCAGGGGAGGGGCCTGGGTGTCCAGAGACCTGATTCTAGTCTCACACTGGCGCAGATGCCTGCGTGAGCCTCAGGCGATTAGGCCACCTTGCTATGGGTCTCAGCATCCCCCACGTGTCCCAAGCACAGGCTGAGGGCCTGTGCACCCCTGCCACAGCTACAGTCCAGAGTCCTATGTGACTGACAGCCCAGGAATCTGAGCTCCCACCCTTCCCGCTCTTGGGGCCAGCCTACGCCTCCTTTTCCTGGGGTGGGCTGATGATTTGGGGGTGGGCAGAAGAGAAGCTTTGAGCCTGTGTCCCAAAGCTGGGCCCTGGGCAGCTTTCCCCACCCCCCACTACAGTTTCATGCGTCTGCCCTCTCTCAGGACACAGCCCTGGGTGGAGGAGGAAGAAGTCCTGTATCCTTTTCCCACTCCCATGGAATGTGCTCCGACTGGGATGAGGCAGACTGGCCACCCAGGGCGGGCCCCACCTGGGAGGGGCACTGGAAGCAACTGGGGTCCAGGTGCCCTGCTTGGGGGCAGGGGGAGGCCGGGGAGTTCCCAGCACGGGCCAGCTCAGCAGAAGCTCTCTCCCCTGCAGCACCCCGGAGACTGCCGAGTTCCTGGGTGAGGACCTGCTGCAGGTACGTGCCTGGGCCGGCAGCTGGTGGGAGGGCAGGCCTATGCAGGCTGTCAGAGCAGAGGGCTGGGTGCGGATGCCATTTAGGGGCCCAGGTTGAGTCATTCCCAGGGTGATGGTCATGGGGTCCTGGGGGGAGGAGAAAGGTGGGAAGGTGCTCTAGGGCAGGGGTCCTCAAACTTTTTAAACAGGGGGCCAGTTCACTGTCCCTCAGACCGTTGGAGAGTGCACACTGTGGGCCCGGGACAAGTCGGCTGCTAAGCAGGACGGGCAGCAGCGGCAAAAACACCCAGAGGGCTAGATAAATGTGCCCGCGGGCTATAGTTTGAGGACGCTTGCTCTAGGGAGACAACCTCCCTTGATGGTAATCTCCCACACCTCCCTCCCAGGTGGAGCAGCGGCTGGAGCCGGCCAAGCGGGCAGCCCACAATGTCCACAAACGGCTGCAGGCCTGTCTGCAGGGCCAGAGTGGGGCAGACATGGACAAGCGGGTGGTGAGTGGGGGTCCCAGGAAGGACGGGCCTGAGCAGCAGGCTTCAGTCTAATGGGGAAGTTTGGTTGGGGCTCAGGTGTCCCTGCCAATCTGAGCCTCTGGCACCAAGGGCTTGGAGACTGCCCTGTCCCGTGGCCCCTCTGGCACTATGTTCATGAGACCCTCTGTCTTTCCCATCCCTGTCTGGACCCCACCCCTCTTATCAGTCCCTGATCTCTCTGATCCCAAAGCCAGTGCTCTCTGCAATTCCAGGTAGGGGAGTGGTGGGCATGTTTTGGAGTGTGACAGGGGTAGGGAGTTGGGAGCAAGGCATGGAGGAGAGGAAAGCTCAGAGGTGGCCAGGTCAGCCACATAAGCCCTGGGGCAGGGAAAGAGCTCCTGCTCAGAGGCTAGCTCCCCCTTCCAGTCTCCTCCAACTGTGTGACCTCGCGTTAGCTCCCTGCCCTCTCTGCATCTTAGTTCCCCAGTCTGTGGTAGGACTTGGGCATTCCTTCCTGCCCAACTAAGTGGCTCCTGGGACAGAGGAAGGAGGACCCCAGGTGGGTGGGGACTCTGTACATGGTCACAGGGAAATGTCACCCTCCCCCCATGCCTGTTGTCATCCTGTTTCCCTCCTGCCCTAAGGGGCTCGCCCGGTGCTCAGGGATGTGCACTCACAGCACCCACCCCTCCCCCCGCAGAAGAAGCTTCCTCTCATGGCTCTGTCCACCACGATGGCCGAGAGCTTCAAGGAGCTGGACCCCGATTCCAGCATGGGGTGAGCACAGATGGAGCCCAGCCCTCACCTGGGAATGCCAAGAAGCAATCTGGGCTGAGACAGGGTCCACGTTAGAGGAATGGCCAGGCTGCGTCCAGGTCATGGGGGGCAGCCCAGCCTGGGGAGGGTATTTGGCTTGGCCGAGGTGGAGGAGAGATAGGAGGGGCAGGAAATCTTGGGGAGGGGAGGCCCCACCGGGTGTTTCCCAGGGGGCTGAGGGGCTGCCAGAGCCTGTGCCCACTGGTGCTACGTCCACAGGAAGGCCTTGGAGATGACCTGTGCCATCCAGAACCAGCTGGCCCGCATCCTCGCCGAGTTTGAGATGACTCTGGAGAGGGATGTCCTGCAGCCACTCAGCAGGCTGAGTGAGGTGACCTGTCCCCAGCTTCCCTAGCCTTCTAGCTCCCTCCCCGCCAGCCCACTGAACCCCACCCCTATACCTGTCTCCAGGAGGAGCTGCCAGCCATTCTCAAGCACAAGAAAAGCCTACAGAAGCTCGTGTCTGATTGGAACACCCTCAAGAGCAGGTGGGAGCCACAGCCACTGGGTGGGACCCCGAAGGCTTGGCTGGGTACGGTGTGTTTTCTTGTGCACATGTCTGGTCCATAGGAACACATGTGAGGATGCATTCAACAGTGTGTACATGGTTGTCACAGTTGGTGCTGGGGGTGACCCCAAAGCCTAGGAAAGCCATAAACAGTCCTCCAAGATCCCTGGATGGCAGGGGGGTGCCCCACCCTCCACTCTGGACCTGGGTGGCTGTGATCACCAAACCCACCACCAGGGGGCAGCCAGGAGCACTCGCAGCCCAGGCTGGGCAGCAGCTGAGGGCCAGTGGCACTCTTGATTTGCACCTGTAAATCCCACAGTCCCATGTATGGAGGGATACTCAGCTCGTAACCAGCCCACCTTGGGGTCCTTCCCCAGGCTCAGTCAGGCAGCCAAGAACTCAGGCAACAGTCAAGGCCTAGGAGGTGGCCCAGGCAGTTACGGCCACACCACCATGGCCAACAAGGTGGAGACTCTGAAGGAGGAGGAGGAGGAGCTGAAGAGGAAGGTGGAGCAGTGCAAGGTGAGGGGGGCCTTGGGGTTCCCTGGATGTATGGGGGTGGCAGGAGCGGGTGCTGTTACCATTCCACAGACAAGGAAGCTGAAGTTCAGAGAGGTGACATGACTTGCCCAAAGCCGCATGGCTCGGAAGCAGCAGAGCTGGGGTTTGGGTCTGTGTGCTGTCTACACCACTCTCGTAACACCTGGAGGCAGAGACTTGGTCTATTAACCAGAGTCTGGGCGTTTGCTGAGTGAATGAGTGAATGAATGAAAGGTGAATGAAAGAATGATTGAGTGATGAATAACAGGCACTGTGCTGAGGATGTGGGGACACAGATGAGGACTAAGCAGCCGTAAAAGCCCCTCTGGAGTTCGAGGGGTTCTGATTGGCTGGCCCCAAGTACAAACCTTGGCAGAGAGAGGGGATTGGGGGGACCTTCCATGTACAGTGGTATGGCCTTGGGCAAGTCACAAACCCCTCCAAGCCTCAGCTTCCCATCTAGACCCCCATTCTCACATGGGCTAAGCTCTCCTCTCTCTGTCCCCAAGGATGAGTACTTGGCCGACCTGTACCACTTTGCCACCAAGGAGGACTCATATGCCAACTACTTCATTCATGTGAGTCCAAGACCAGGCTCCAGCCATCCGGAGCTCAGGGGTTGGATGCCAGAGCCAGGGGCCACTAGGACCCTGTGAGATGGTAGGAGCTGGGGGGGGGGTCTGCTTTTGTATATGCTGGGGAAGGCTCAGCTTCCCTCACTTCCCCTGAGGGTGTCCCTTTGTCCCCACAGCTCCTGGAGATTCAGGCTGATTACCATCGCAGGTCACTAAGTTCACTGGACACAGCCTTGGCTGAGCTGAGGGAGAACCACAGCCAAGCAGGTGGGTGCAAAGGCAGGGTGAACCTCATACCCCTGACCCCACCCTGCTCAGGGCTTTCTAAGAAGCTTGCACTTTGTCCTGAAAGGCAGTAGGGAGCCATGGATGAGTGCTGAGGGCTGGATTAAATTTGTGATGGAGAGACTGCTCTGGGTGCTGTGTGGAGGATGCATTGAAGGGGACAGGATTAGAGCCAGGAGACCTTTTAGGAGGCAGAAGGGAGGCGATGGTGGCCTGGACTAGGGCAGAGGCAGTGGAGGTGGATGGACAGAATGATGGATGGTTTCAGATGTGTGCATGGACAGTTGGGTGGAAGTTGGTACCACCTTGAGGACATCTGGGAGTGACCCCTGCCTGGCTTCCCAGGGGTAGGAAGACCCTGGGCCACTGATCTGTCTTGTTCCTGCAGACACTTCCCCCTCGATGGCAGCTGCCTCCACCTCCAGGATGTATGGGGTGTCGCTGGGAACCCACCTGCAAGAGCTGGGCCGGGACATCGCCCTGCCCATCGAGGCCTGTGTCATGATGCTGCTTTCTGAGGGCATGAAGGAAGAGGTGGGACCCCCTGGGGCAGCTGGGGAAGGAGCACTGGGGCCCTCATTCTGTCCCAAACCCCCACATGCTGCCCTGCCCTGGTGCCTGTAACTCCCTCATTAGAGCACAGGTCCCTGGAAGAAGGCGTGGCCTCCTGGTGCCAAACTGACACTACCTCCCGCTCAGCGATGCTCACATGGCCGGGCTCTGTGCTCTAAGCCTGTGCATTCCTTGCTCCCTTTAATGGTCCCAGTAACCGTTGGAGGGAGCCCTTATTGGCACCCTTTTACAAGGGAGAGACAGAGGCAAAGAGGTACATGTGCCCAGAGTGACATGAGAAGATGGCACTGAAACCATAGCACCTGTCATTGTCACACACTGTCCTTTGCACCTTAGTGTTGTTAATACATTGCTTCCTTTCCTGAAGATAGACCCTTAGGAGGTGGCAAATACCCAGAGACAGACTTGGGCTTCTCAACGATCCTGCTAGGCCTCCTCTCTCCCTCCCACTTCCAGCCAGACTCCTGTCTCCCCACGACTTTTCCCAGCTCCTTCTAGACTTCCCAGCCCTGCCCTTTGCTCAGAATTCTAGACCTTGAGAGTTAAGAAGGGCCACAGACAGTGTCGTGTCCACTCTGCCTGCCAGAGCAGTGGTGCCACTGAGGCCTGGTGAGGGCCAGCAGCCTACCGCAGGCTACAAGTGAGCCAGGGCCCCCAGCCCGGGGATCCAGCCCTGCCCACCCCTCTGTGACCCCCACCTGTTCCCTCTCGCACCCCAGGGCCTCTTCCGTCTGGCCGCTGGGGCCTCCGTGCTGAAGCGCCTCAAGCAGACAATGGCCTCGAACCCCCACAGCCTGGAGGAGTTCTGCTCTGACCCCCACGCCGTGGCAGGTGCCTGGTCCAGGCAGCCCTGGGTGGGAGACTGGGGGACGGGGTTCAGCTGCCTGAAATGATCCTGAGATAGTTTGGCTTGAAGGCCTGATATTCTGCTGAGGACACATGGGGTTCTTAACACAGGGTCCGTGATCAACCCCTGAAATGTGTGTACATTTTTCTAGTGACAAGAATGCTAGCCTTCCGGCCGGGCGCAGTGGCTCACGCCTGTAATTCTAGCACTCTGGGAGGCCGGGGGCGGGTGGATCGTTTGAGTTCAGGAGTTCAAAACCAGCCTGAGCAACAGCGAGACCCCGTCTCTACTAAAAATAGAAACAAATTAATTGGCCAACTAAAAATATTTACAAAACATTAGCCGGGCATGGTGGCGCATGCCTGTAGTCCCAGCTACTCGGGGGGCTGAGGTAGAAGGATCACTTGAGCCCAGGAGTTTGAGGTTGCTGTGAGCTAGGCCACAGCATTCTAGCCTGGGCAACACAGTGAGACTCTGTCTTAAAAAAAAAAAAAAAAAAAAGAATGCTAGCCTTCCTTTTCTCAAAGGGGCCTGTGACCCAAAGAAACTATCAGACCTAGACACGTTAGTGTGAACGAGGGCTGGAGGTTCCTTCTATAGGGAAAGAGGGAGAGCAGGTTGAGGGGCTGCTTCTCTGCCTCTGACTTCTCCCCACCTCTGCCTCAGGTGCCCTCAAATCCTATCTGCGGGAGCTGCCAGAGCCCCTGATGACCTTTGACCTCTATGACGACTGGATGCAAGCCGCCAGGTGAGGATAGGGAGAGAGGTTGGGGAGGCGGAGGCTGCGCAGGTGTACCCGCTGACCAGGTCTCTCTCCTCAGCCTGAAGGAGCCGGGGGCCCGGTTACAGGCCCTCCAAGAGGTGTGCAGCCGCCTACCCCCTGAGAACCTCAGCAACCTCAGGTGAGCCCACGCCCATGCCCACCTCCCCCAAGCCAGAGCCCAAGGACTCAGGGCCCTGTGTTTGACTCCGGCCCTGCCACTGTGTCCTAAGCAATATTTCTGAAAACACAGCTTTGATGTACTAGTCATATTTTTTTAAAAATTAGACATTAAAATGAACAATTCCTTGAACTTTTGGAGCCATACTGCCTGGTTTCACGTCTCACCTCTGCCCCTGTGTGGGTCTGGGCAGGCAACTCAGTGTTACCATCTGGAAAATTCAGATTATAACCGTCCCTACCCCGTGGGGTGACTCTCAGCTTAGTTCTGTGCCCAACATTTAGTTGGCACTCAGTAGATCAGCTAATTTGACTATCAAAATAATTTTTTTTTTACTTTTTTTTTTTTTTTTTTTTGAGACAGAGTCTTGCTTTGTTGCCCAGGCTAGAGTGACTGCCATGGTGTCAGCCAAGCTCACAGCAACCTCAAACTCCTGGGCTTAAGCAATCCTGCTGCCTCAGCCTCCTGAGTAGCTGGGACTACAGGCATGCACCACCATGCCCGGCTAATTTTTTCTATACATATTAGTTGGCCAATTAGTTTTCTTTCTATTTATAGTAGAGACGGGGTCTCGCTCTTGCTCAGGCTGGTTTCGAACTCCTGACCTTGAGCAATCCGCCTGCTTCGGCCTCCCAGAGTGCTAGGATTACAGGCGTGAGCCACCATGTCCAGCTGACTATCAAAAATTTTAAAACCATGGCTCTTGCCTGTAATCCTAGCACTCTGGGAGGCCAAGGTGGGAGGATCGCTTGAAACCAGGAGTTCAAGACCAGCCTGAGCAAGAATGAGACCCTGTCTACAAAAAAACAGAAAAATTAGCCGAGCATGGTTGCACGCACCTGTAGTCCCAGCTACTTGGGAGGCTGAGACAGGGCGATCGCTTGAACCCAGGAATTTGAGGTTGCTGTGAGCTATGATGCCACTGTACTCTAGCCCAGGCAATAGGACAAGACCCTGTCTGAAAAGAAAAAAAAGATTTAAAAACCATCCCCTATGGTATGTATCCGACTGTTGAGAAACCCTAAGCTGGAGAGTTCCCAGGGCTCACATGCATCAGTGGGTATTCAGGGCCCCACATGCCCCGCCCCCTGCCCACGCCCACTTCCCCCCCAGGTACCTGATGAAGTTCCTGGCACAGCTGGCTGAGGAGCAGGAGGTGAACAAGATGACACCCAGCAACATTGCTATTGTCCTGGGGCCCAACCTACTGTGGCCACCTGAGAAAGAAGGGTGAGAGGCCACGGGTCGGAAAGGTGGTAGGAGGGAGGCAGTCCCCGTCCCAACCATCTGCAGCTTATTGTTCCCCTGGGCCTCAGTTTCCCCATTCTCAGAGGGGTCAAGTGGCTTCTGTTCTCAAGGCTGCCATGAGGAACAGCCTGAAGGGACCATGGACCCCACGGGGCTTTGGAGATAGGCGTATGGGTAGTGGCGGTGATGGAGTGCTTGGTGGCCTGGTGGGGGGCTGGAAGCCCAGAGGTCTGGCTCTAGCCCCACCCTTTACCTTCCAGAGATGGGCCTTGGGAGGTCACCCTCATGAGCATTTCCTCCTCTGTAAACTGGGGGGAAGTTACATAAACTTGCAGGGGTTTTGCTTTGATAATTAGGTGAGATGATGAATGGGGAAGTGCTTTACAGACTGTAAAGTCATAAGTGAGAGGTCATTATTCGCCTGGCCACAGATGGCACAAAGGTTTCATCTGTGCAGAGTGCAGTTCCTTGGTAGAGGCTGTCTCCGAGGAGACCAAGACTCCGAGGAGACGGGTCCTGGATGTGGTTGATCCCCGTGTCCCCAGTGCCCAGCCCGAGGCCACACAGAGAGTTGGGGTCATGAAAACTTTGCTAAGTGGGTGACTCACTTCGTCTCCCTTTTTGTCCCAGGGACCAGGCCCAGCTGGACGCAGCCTCGGTGTCTTCCATCCAGGTGGTGGGCGTGGTCGAGGCGCTGATACAGAGCGCAGACAGCCTCTTCCCTGGAGGTGCAGCTCCTGCTTTCATGGATGCTTCACTCTGTGCCCTCCCTCTGCCGGGCCCCGGCCCCCGGCCCCAGCCCTGGCCTCCCTGTGCCGAGCTCACCACGAGGCCTGGAGGAAATTGCTTCTCCACACTGAGCCTCAGTTTCTCATCTCTAAAATGGGAACCATGCTGCCTGCTTTATGGGCCTGTCCTGAGGCTCATGTGGGAGTGGGAAGGCAAAACGTGGTCCAGATCATTTTGGGGGAAACAGGGAGTGACCCTGACACAGGCTCAGGTGGGAGAATGGCGGAGGCTCCGAGAGCCAACACCTGCTCCTTCTACTTCCAGACATCAACTTCAACGTGTCGGGCCTCTTCTCAGCCCTCGCCCCTCAGGACACCGTCAGCGACCAGCTGGCCTCTGACGCTCTTCCAGCCATTGCCGTGCCCACCCCTGTTCCAGCCCCAGCCCCAGCCCCAGCCCCAGCCCCAGCCCCAGCCCCAGCGGCTACCAAGGAAAGGTGAGGACTGAGGGGTATGAGGGGCCCGTCCTGGTCCCACAGACACCCAGCCTGAGGCACCATGTCTCACGACTTGAAGCAGCATTTTAGCAAATGTGATTATTGGCATTGTCATTGCAAAGACCAGGTCTCCCAGTTCTCCTAGTTTGGAGAAGGTGGAGTCTCAGCCTTGCCTAATGTGTTCCCTTGTTCATTGCACGGCAATTTACTGAGCACCTACTATGTGCCAGGTCCTGTTTCTGGCCCTGGGGATTTAGGGAACTGGGGAGATGATCATTTTGGAATCTGTAAATACCTTCCAGTTTCCTCTTCGATCCTTCAGATCAACAAGGGCCTTGTGGTTCTGCGTTGCTGCCACACCCGGCAGGTATTGGTCAGTACCACAGACTGCCACGGCCCAGATCGTGACTGTCCTCAGCTGAGCAGGACAGACAAATGCTGCCCTTAGAGCTCACGTTCCAGGCTGGCAAGGAGAGAGAGAATCGACAGGAACGTGCACAGGCGCGTTCTGTAATGTCAGGACGGGGCTGAAAAGCAAGATAAAGCAGGAGACAGGTTTGGGAGCTGTTCTAGCTCTGGGTCAGGAAAGGCCTCCTGGGGAAGAGACCACCAAGCAGAGGCCCAAAGGCAGCCAGGTGAGCATGGGTGCCTGCTTCCCAGCCGCTCTCCAGCGGCAGAGGCCAGAACCTCTCACAGAGATCACAGAGGCGGGGCGCTGAGGCCGAGGGCGGCCCTGCGGCCCACCTCACATCCTAGCCTACCCACCAGACAGGCGGGGTGCCCTCCTGGTTCCTAGGGACCATGGACCCTGTCACAGGGTCACAGGGCAGCCAGGGCTTAGTGGACACAAACCCTGGCCAATGCTAGAAGCATCTTCTGCAGGGAGGTGGGGGACAGATCCCAAGCACAGCCACAGGGTGGTGGGAGTGAGTACAGAAGGACCCAACTCCACCTGACAAGATTCCGGGAGATGCCTAAGCCTAACCCTGACCCTCCTTCCCTCGGCAGGACAGAGTCTGAGGCGCCCCCCAGACCATCCTCCCCCAAGGTCAACAGGAGCCCCCCGGAGACAGCTGCCCCGGTGGACGATACGGCTCGAAGGAGTGAGTTGGCTGTGGGAAAAGAGAAGGGGACAAAGGGTAGGCAGGGAGAGGGGACGGCAAGTTCTCCCATCTTTTTAGACAGCCAGAGGAGGCCAGGAATCAAGGTGGTGAAAAGCCCAGGTTTTGCTGCCTGGCACTCTGGGTTCAGATTCCAGCTCCATGACCTTGGGCAGGTATATCCAGCTGTCTGAGCCTCAGCTTCCTCCTCTGTGTAATGGAACAGCAACTGCACTTGCCTTGTAGGGCTGTGTGCGGCATTCAGTGGTGCGGCGGGGCGCCTGGCCCTAGCACACAGCAAGTGCCCATTAAAGGTTAGCCAGCGTGAGCACTGGGGCACTGGAGTCCTGGCCAACAGCACATGGGGGACGGGGGCCTCGCTGGGTTTGTGTCCTGGGAGGAAGACAAGCCATGACCAAGTGAAATGAAAACAGACAAGCTCGTTTCAGGGGACAAAGAGTCCTACAAGGGAAATAAAACAGGAAAATGGGCAGAGTGACTGGGGTGGGGCATGGGGTGATCAGGGATGGCCTCTGAGGGGTGAAGGACAGGAGGAGAGACCCAAGTGACAGGGAGCCAGCCGTGCACACTGTTCCCGGCAGAAGGAACAGCAGACGCAAAGGTCCTGAGGTGGGGCCGAGCTTGGAGGGTTTACAGGCGACATGGACACCTAACCTCCCCACTTCCCTTCCTCCACAGCCAAGCGCCCAGCGCCGGCCCGGCCCAACATGCCGCCCCCCCAGCTGTCCAGCACCCGTGCCTCGGCGCCAGCCCCACCCCCACCCCCTGGCTCTGGTAGCCCTGGGACCCCCCGAGCTCTGCCCCGCCGTCTGGTTGGCAGCAACCTCCGGGCCCCCACGGTGCCACCCCCATTGCCCCCCATGGCCCCCCAGCCTGCCCGGCGCCAGAGCCGGCGTTCACCAGCACCCCTCAGCCCAGCCTCCCCCAGCCCAGTCTCCTCGAGCACACCCGCACAGGTGGACCTGGGGGTGCCCACAGAGGGGGGAGAGGCCCCTGAGCCTGCAGGGGGGTTCCCCGCTTCCCCAGCTACCCCGCCTCAGCCCCAGCCCCGGAGCCTCGCCTCAGAGACCGACTGAGTGGCCGGCTCATTCCTGCATGGCCCTCAGTGTCCCCTCTCTCCCACCTTGTCCCCCAGGACAGCTCTCACCCCTCCCAAGGGGTGGGGCCTCCAGCCTTTGCTCACAAGTGCCTCGGTGCCCGCTGGGTCGGCCCCATGGCCAGGAGGGCTCAGGACAGTCCTCCACTTCCTGACCTTTTCCTCTTCCACCCTGGGCTTGAGGTCCCCCCCCCCCCAGCTGCACTCCCCACTCTCTGGCAGGGTCGCAGGGGAGCCACCAGAAGGAAGGAGAGGCTTGCCTGCTCCTACGGGACTTTTATTTTTCTCTTGCCAACGTATTTTTTATAAGGCTGGTAAATAAATTATTTTGGACAAAACTGGAGCAGCTGCCCAAATGATAGTTTTATTTTCTGTCCTTGAAATAAAGAGGCCACTTTCATAAAGAGGAACAAATTACATGTTCTTTGCCTCCTTTCTTCCTGTCTGAAATAATAACCGCCGGCAGTTTTAGAGCTTTCTCTGCTACACACTGCTTTTCTGAGCATGGTTTCCATGTAATCTCAGGGGAAGTGAATCCCATTGTGTCTTACAGGTGAGGAGACCGAGGCTCAGAAAGAAGTGACCTGCCAAGGGTCACACAGCCAGTAAGGCAGGGACTGGGATGAGAGCATAGGTCCGATTCCAAAGCCTGGCTCGTTCCTCACATTCTGGGCAATTTACTTCTTGGTATCCCAGTTTTCTGATTTGTGAAATAGTATAACAATTCTCACCACAGAAGTGTTGCTCTGAGGATCAAATGAGACACCCCTATAAAGACCAAAGCACCGCCCTTGGGACACAAAAGTGCCCAATAAGCGATGGTTGCTGCTACTGCTGCTTCCCCCAGCCCCCACTGGGAGAAGGCAGTGAAGGCTCCCCACGGTGCAGGAGTGGATCTGTCCTCAAACCTTCCCTGAGACTGCCTCTGCCAGACTCTAGGCCAGCTCCCCGCCTCAGCCTTACATCCAAGGGACTCCTGAGAACAGACCAGCAAGAGAAGTGACAATTAGAATCAAGTGGCTAGTGCCTGTAATCCTAGCACTCTGGGAGGCCAAAGCCGATGGATCGCTCAAGGTCAGCAGTTCAAAACCAGCCTGAGCAAGAGCAAGACCCCGTCTCTACTAAAAATAGAAAGAAATTAATTGGCCAACTAAAAAAAGAAATATATATATATAAATTAGCATGGGCATGGTGGCGCATGCCTGTAGTCCCAGCTACTCGGGAGGCTGAGGCAGAAGGATGGCTTGAGCCGGGGAGTCGGAGGTTGCTGTGAGCTAGGCTGGCGTCACAGCACTCACTCTAGCCTGGGCAACAAAGCAAGACTCTGTCTCAAAAAAAACAAACAAAAAAACTACGCATCTTTCTGTAAATGATATCTCAAAAAACTAAGTTCCTCAGGGGATTCTACTGCACACCCAGTGCAGAGAACCGCAGGTCTAGACCGAGGGCCCCAACGTCCAAGAAGACACCATGCTCCTCCAGAGCTCTCAAGACTTCCCGCAGAGCTGGAGCGTCCACGGTTCAGAGGGCAACGAGACTACATCTCACTGAGCATCGGTTCTCTTCCTAGCAACCAGCTCTCATAAGCTTCTGATTGGAAGTCCGGCTGGAAGAAGCCGGACTCATTCGCTTCCCGTTTTCTTCCTGTGGCTCCTTATTGGTTAAAAAGAAGGTCAGTCTCCTAGGCTCCCACCCCTGTGAGAGGTTAGCCGGTCTTGAAACGAGGCGGCGACTGGCCCAGCAGAGATAGAGGCGGGGCGAAAGATCATACTAGTTCTCCATTGGTCACCTCCCCTTGGTCGGAGTCAAGATTTCGTCCCTTTCTCCAAAGTCCGTACGCTCGCGGTCTCGCTCCTCTCCTAGACTCTCACCCTCATTGGCTGAGGGGCAAGGCCGTCACCCCGCCCCCTGACCCTTCCGGCGCGCGGATTGGCGGCTGTGGGAGACGTGCCCGGGAGCGCGCCGTGCCCGCGCAAGGAGCGCGACGCGCGCTGCGAGGGTGGGCGGGCGGCCGGCTGCATGGCGCGCTGTGAGCGGCTTCGCGGCGCGGCCCTGCGCGACGTGTTGGGCCGGGCGCAGGGCGTCCTGTTCGACTGCGACGGGGTGCTGTGGAACGGCGAGCACGCAGTGCCGGGCGCCCCGGAGCTGCTGGAGCGGCTGGCGCGGGCCGGGAAGTCGGCGCTGTTCGTGAGCAACAACAGCCGGCGCGCGCGGCCCGAACTGGCCCTCCGCTTTGCGCGCCTGGGCTTCGGGGGACTGCGCGCCGAGCAGCTGTTCAGCTCCGCGCTGTGCGCCGCGCGCTTGCTGCGCCAGCGCCTGCCCGGGCCGCCGGACGCGCCGGGCGCTGTGTTCGTGCTGGGCGGCGAGGGGCTGCGCGCCGAGCTGCGAGCCGCGGGGCTGCGCCTGGCGGGGGACCCGGGCGAGGACCCGGGCGCGGGGAACGGCGCGCCCCCGCGCGTGCGTGCCGTGCTCGTGGGCTACGACGAACACTTCTCCTTCGCCAAGCTGAGCGAGGCGTGCGCGCACCTGCGCGACCCCGACTGCCTGCTCGTGGCCACCGACCGCGACCCATGGCACCCTCTCAGCGACGGCAGCCGGACTCCAGGTGAGCTTGGAGCTGGAGGGGAAACCGAGGCTGGGGGCGGCCTGCGCGTTCGCCTCCACGCCTAGGGGTGAGGGGCGGGGAAGGGGCTTTTCCGGGTGGCAGGTGGAGAACCAGGAGATGCGAGGGAGGCCCAGGGTGCTTTCGTGTGTACGTGTGGTAATTCCTACAGCCACCACCCTGTGAGGGGCAGCGGTGGGGTCCCCGTTTGACAGATGAGGAAACAGACCCATTGTGGCTCAGAAGGTTGCTGGCGGGATTTTGCCCCACCCACTCGTATCCGGGTGGTGAGGGTTGGAAACGAAGCCTGGAGGGTTGGGACATTCCTAGGAACAGGATGCAGGCAGGTGTGTGGGGAGCACTGGAAGTGGAGTTCTACCTGAGTTCCAGTTCCAGCTCCACGCAGTTACGTAACCTCCAAGCATCTCTGCCAGGGTGTAAAACGGCAATGCTCACCATGCCAGTTTCATCTAAGGGGTCCATGATCAGGGTGAGTGCCTGGAGTATAGTAGGTGCTCACATGATGTAAATTGTAGCCAGAGTACCCCCATGTTACACAGAGCTTTAGGAAGCACCTTGGTGTCTGTTCTTATTTTTTGCAAATGACTCCAGAGTTGACAGTTATTGTTCTATTTCCCAATTAAAGAAACCAGGGCAGCTGGGCGTGGTGGTGGGCACCTGTAGTCCCAGCCACTTGGGAGGCTAAGGAGGGAGGATTGCTTGAAGCTAGGAGTTTAAGGCTGTATTGTGGGCCTGGCAGGGTGGCTCACCCCTGTAATCCTAGCACTCTGGGAGGCCGAGGTGAGAGGATCACTCAAGGTCAGGAGTTCAAAACCAGCCTGAGCAAGAGCAAGACTCTGTCTCTACTAAAAATAGAAAGAAATTAATTGGCCAACTAAAAAAAGAAATATATATATATAAATTAGCATGGGCATGGTGGCGCATGCCTGTAGTCCCAGCTACTCGGGAGGCTGAGGCAGAAGGATGGCTTGAGCCGGGGAGTCTGAGGTTGCTGTGAGCTAGGCTGACACCACGGCGATCTAGCCCAGGCAACAGAGTGAGACTCTGTCTCAGAAAGAAAAAAAAAGGCTGTATTGTGCTATGGTAATTGCACCTGTGAATAGCCACTGCATTCCAGCCTGGGCAACATGGTGAGACTTCTTCTCTTTAAAAAAAAAAAAAAAAGAAGAAGAAGAAAAGAAGAAACGGGCTAAGAGAGGGGAAATGCGCACGATAGCGTATAGTGAGTCAGTGATAGAGCACAGAACTGGAATGTGGTTCCTGTGACACCGACCCCTGATCCAAGGCACCCTTCGCTGCCATCTTCTGCACATGCAGCCCTGCAGAAGAGGCAGGAGCAGGCAGGGCCGTACATTGTCGGGGGCAGGAGTGAGACAAGAGCAGGTGGCAGCAGAGGCTAATGGGCAGTGGTGAGTGTGTGTGGTCAGGTTAATACCCCAGTCCATAGACTTGGGGCCTGGAAGATCTCTGTCACCCCCTCTCGCTGGCCACTGACCCAGTCATTGATACCAAATTCCTGGTGGGGAGGGCAGTATTGAGCGAGGTGGAGCAGACACAGGATTGTGATGGGGTGGAGAGGAGGCCTAGTGCCGAGGGGATCTGGGGAAGCTTCCTTGCAGGGCACGGTGATATGTGCCAGAAGACCTAGACACGGTGTTATGATAGGATGGCAGGGAGGAATTCTATCCTTCTAGACCTGTCCTGGCTCTGCCACAGACCTACTTGCTACATGACCAACTCAGCCTCAGTTTCCCCATAAATCTGAGGTGAGGGCTCTGGTCAGCACTCTCAGCTGCAGCAGCTCCTGCCTGCCTGCCCTAGGTCGTGCTGTGAGAAGTGTTTTTCCCTGGAGACCTCAAAGCTCAGTTCAGGCTGTGGGTTGAAAGGTCCCCCAGGGCTCAAGAAGGCTGTGTCAAGGAGCTGGGAAGAGACCAGGCCTCGCCCACCCCTGCCTCACTCTCCTCTGTGAGAACCCAGGCCCCTGTGGTCTCGCTGCCCACCTGGCTGTGCCCACCTGTCCTGCTGTCACTCCTACAGCCTAGAGGGGGAGACAGAGGCTTAACAAGTACAGTGCTGTAAGTCATGTTTGTGCATAACTGAATGATGCAGCTTTGAAATAGTGTGGTATAAAAATAATAAAAGTCGCCGTTATGCATAAAAATCTGAAATAATGCAACTCCCCCACCCCCCATTCCCCCTCTCCTTCCCCATGGGCCTCCTAAATTGTGTGTTTACCTTGTTGCCACATGGCAGCCACTTGAGCCAGCAAATAGAAATGCCTGCTGTCTTAGAAAGATGTCATCGGCATAGCATGTAGCAGCTCTGGATTGCAGAGTGCTGGGTTAGGAGGAATGATGGGGGCTGAGAGACAGTTATACACTCCCCGGCTAGGATGCTTGCTCCCCCGGGGTAGGGATGTCTGTTGCATTGACTGCCCTATCCCCAGTGTCTGGCATATAGTTGGGCCTCAGTAAATATTAGCTGAATGAATGAAGTGGGACATAAGAGTTCCAAAGGTGACCAGTCTCCATCCTGGTGGGAAAGGACAGAGCTGGGGCTCCAGCCTAGGCCGTTTTTCTTGAGAAAAACCCCTTGGGGTGACTCTGGCGCGCCCTTCCCATCCTGGGAGGAATTGCTAGCTGAGGGAGCAAATAGCTTTTATTCTCTACCGAGTTCTTAAGAAAACAAGCAGGCACGTTCTAGGTCAGATGTCAGGGAGA